TTAGAAAATTTTCTAAATGTTTAGAAATTTGATTTTTTTCAAAGTAATTTCTGACTTCTGATTTTTTTTGATGAACCAATTTCATGTCTTGATGAAATATAATTGTTGAAACTTGATATGATCTAAAAAAGTCAAAGTTTGACTTTTCAATGTGCTTTTGACCATTTTGCCCTTGTGGATGATTTTCTTGAAAAGTTATAATTCAAAACTTGAAACTTGATAGAAGCAAGCCTGAGAGTCCAGGATGATTTTTTTTTTGTTGAGAAATGAGATGGAAAATTTTGGGGTACAACAACTACTCTAGGGTTCTAAGATCATATTTTTACCAAGGCAACGTCGAGAGGGTCATCGAGGGACTTATGATCTTTTTGAACCAAAGGGTAGCCACTAAAGCCTCTCACGTTTCGAGAGTTGTGACTATTTTCCGAAGGCAACCGAAGTGGGGTACCCTAGAGGTATATACGTGTAATGTGTGTTATACTCAGTTCATTTATCTTTGTTATTAGGTTTGCTAGCGCTTTGTTTTCAGTCTTTTCATACAAGCCTAGTTACTAACAGTTAATATCTTGCAGAAATTTAAAGTGCAGGAATTGTAAATCCTACGCTATTACAAGGCTTTTGGGAGGGGGTTTTTACATGTCCAAAAATGGGGAAAAATAAAGAAAGTGATAAAGTAAATTCCCTAGTTTATGCTATTACATACTGTCAGCAGATACATTAGTATAAAAAATACGAAAATAAATAACGCATGCGAAATGGATAGAATTGTCTAAAACCCTAAATAAACTAAATAAAAGAAAATCTTTTTTTGTTTTTATTTAATTTAAGAAAATACTTAAAATTAAAATGAGGAAGACTAAATTTAATCCTAATTAATTAAATAAATACAAGAAAACTAATTCTAATATTTTTTTTTGTATTTTTGTTAAGAAAATATTTGAATGAAAAACCTACGTCTAATTGATTTTTAAATTAATTAAAACAAGTCAAAATAATTAAGTAAATTAACTATTAAATTAAAATTAATTTTAGGAAAATCATAAGTCTAGTTATTATTATTATTTTTTTTGATTTTATGATTTGATAAAAAAAAGTTTTAAAAGTAAAATATAAATCAAATAAAAAGTTAAAAAGAAAAATAGAAAATAAAACTGGGTCTGATGTCTAAAGTAAATGGGGGGGGGGGGGGGGGGGGTATGAATGTTGAAAATCGTTTGGCCCAAACCAAACCAACCCAGCTTCTGCGTCTAATCCAGTAGGGAGTGTACCCTAAGATACACCATGGTCTTTAGCCATTTGAGAATGTTAGATCTAATGCTGCATGGATCTGATGGTGATGACATGAAGGTGTACGATACGCATCTGGCCACTGGGAGTATAGAACCTGCAAGCAAAGTTAGGAAAAAATAAAATGCAAGAGGCAGGGGTCGAACCCCTAACCTCTCACACACACCTCACCTTAACACACAATGCCTTGCCACTGCACCATCCTATTCATTCGTTGATAAGGGCAATAGGATGATATAATATATAAAATCAATCAATTTTCTTTAATTTTAAAAATGCGTGCCTAACCAGATTTAAGTGAACCAATAAAATTATATCATTTTGCCACGCAGACTCCACTGGAGTCAACAATTTGCAGGGGTGCCGAAGTCAAACTTCGTCACCTTCTCCAGCCGCATCAAAATATAAAAACCTGCAAAAAAGCCAAACCAAAGCTCAAGATCTAGGATACCCCCCCCCCCCCCCCCTTAAATTGGGGTATGCAAATTCAACCATGGGATTAGTTTCTCTTCGAATGGCTTGCATCAATAAGAACGAAGCTCGCTTGGAGTTTTACCCTAAAAATGGAAAAACTCTATCCTCACGCCAAACCTTGCATGTAATGAATCTAAACAGGAATAAGCATCCGTATAAACATATGTATACACAGAGAAATCATTTATATCGCATGTAGAAAAAGTTTGAGATCATGAAATTTTTACCAAAAATGGAGATTCAGTTGACTAATCTCAGGGCTTTTCAGGCGTGGATAAGAGATGGTATAGCTTCCTGGGAACCTCAGGGATGGAGTGGTGAGGTTTGTTTGGCACGAGGAAGCTTGAAAATGTGGTTTTGGATTTTCATGATTTAGGAGATTTTTGCAATTTTTGTATAGCTCTTTGAGGCATTTCCGTGTGTTTGAGGCTTGAAAACGTGATGGATATATAAAGGAAAGGAGGGAGCAAGGTTGTATGGAAAGAATCTTCCTCATAACTATTGTAATGAATCCATGATTTCTTCTTTGAAAACTTTCCAAAATTTGAATATTTCATGCCATTTTTGGATAACATGCACCTGTTCATGTTTTGCACGAGTTCTTGGGCCCAAGACCAACCCATTTCATCAACCCATATTGCCATAACCATTATTTAATATTTTATGCTATTTTATTTTGTTTTTATTTGAATAAAACAAAACTAAATAAGGATAAAATAGGTAGAAATGGCAAGGTAATATATAAATTATTTTAGAGGTCTTTCATAAGGTTATGAAGATGTTTGAAACCCAAAAAGTTAGGCTATTGACCTAAAAGTTTAAGTTTGCTCAATGCACAATCCTTGAAATTTCTAAAATTTTCCCAACTTAGGTAAGCCATAACTTGCTCAATTTTTATCTCATGATGATGATATTGGACTTTTTGGAAATCCCAAGATGTCTACTTCAACCCTCTTTTTATCAACTTTGCATTTGAAGATTTATCTTGATGTAATTGGTCTTGACAAAACGTATCTTTTGTTGACTTTATGAAAATGACCTGTAATATATGAGCTTGTATATTTGAAATGTTGCATATCTTGAACTTGAGGATAAAAGAGAAGTTGTTGGGAATAGGATTCTATTCAAAATGAGCTTTGGTTGTGGAAAAATGGATGAAGTATGTGAAAGTTATGCCTGGTCAAAGTTCAGCTGACTTTTCCTATAGAAACCCTAATTTAACAATTCTTTACTTTTGATAGATTAGGAGAATTTCTTGAGGAATCATGATAAACCCTTGATAAAATGATGTATATCACTTAAAAAATGTTGATGTTGACAAAAAATCTTGAAGTTTGACTATACATGGGCCACAATTGACTTTTGACCTGGTACAGTTGATTTTCAAGTATTTGAGCAATTGACTGAGCAAACTTGTAGTGTAGGGCATGAAATTTGGCATGGACAATCTTGAAGACATATTAGGACCATGGAAAACATTTGATACCTTTGGAGCTCACACATCTTGATGAAAAGTGAAACCCTAGTTAGAGGTTCATTGCTTAGGAGGAGAAATTGTTTGGTCAATTCTTGTTCAACCTTGAGCAATTGGGGACCTCTAGGAGCATGCCTTGAGTAAAAATGGGTGTGGCGGTGAAAATCGGAGATCAAGCTATTAATTAACTTGACTCACAAAAGCAAGAGTCGCCACCGCGCTTTATTATTTCCAAGGGAAAAGGGAAAAGAGCGAAATAAAATCCTAAAATATGCAATGTAAAGTAATATTTAAAAGTAATGAAAATACAATGCGTTTTTAAAAGAGATCGAGAGTTCGGGGGTTGGTTATACACTGGGAAGGTATTAGCACCCAATGCATCTGCGGTACTCCGCAGGAACCTTTTGAAATATCTGTTTTTTGGTTAAAATTGTTTGTTTGGTTGAAATGGTTTGTTTGGTTAAAGATGGGTGCGGATGAGATTTTTGAAGATACGACGACCTAGTGTCGAAGTTTTGACTTAAAAGGTATGAGTTTGAAAATGGGGTCTTGTGGGAAAATTATCTTGAGTTTAGCAAAATAGTAAACAAACAAAAGATGAATGAGGGTATTCGCACGATTGGATGAGATGTGTTTGATAACATGAAGTCAACAAAATTTAAATCTTTTCCTTGGGGTAAGCAAAATAAAATGAACATCAAAATATAAACATTCAGAAGTTCACAAGAAAATAAATCTGACAAAAACAAATTAATGATCAAGAGGCACCGAGAAATTGAAATGACAGAAATATACAAATAAAGGAATATAACTAATTATCTAAAAAAGTTATTCGAACTAAATTAAAAATTACTTACTAAAATAATTCTAAACTAATTACGAATTCTAAGGTTATAAAAAAAAATCTAGTATTATTGAATTTGATCTAAACTAAACTAAAGTTTTAAAATTTAGTAAGTTAAATCTAGATTAAATTAAAATCCTAAGGTTACTAAATTAAATCTAAAACAAATGAAAATTCCAAAGTTACTAAACTAAATCTAAATCAAATAAAATTCTAAAACTACTAAACTAAATTTAAATCAAATAAAAACTCTAAAGTTATTAAACTAAATCTAAATCGAATAAAATTCTAAAACTACTAAACTAAATTTAAATCAAATAAAAACTCTAAAGTTATTAAACTAAATAAAAATTATAAACTTGTTAAACTAATTCTAAATCAAATGAAAATTATAAATTTATTAAACTAATTCTAAATCAAATAAAAATTCTAAAGTCACTAAACTAAAACTAAACAAATAAAATTCTAAAGTTAACTTAAATAAAATCAAATAAAATTCTAAAGTTATTAAACTAAACTAAAACAAATAAAATTCTAAAATTTACTAAATGAAATAAAATTCTAAAGTTATAAAATAAAACTAAAACAAAATAAAATTCTAAAGTTATTAATTATGATTCTAAATATTTTAAAGTTATAAAATAAATCTAAACTAATTAAAAAAATCTAAATTAATATTAAACTAACTCTAAATATAAGATTTACTAATATTTTTTTTATATTTTTTTTAAATAAATAAACAAATAAATAAATAAAGAAACAAACAAATGATGAATCTCAAGAACTGTTCTGATCGGAAAAATAAAGGAGTAATTTTCCAAACCCCATTAATCATCCACCCATAGACCGGTGCGTCGCATGGTATGGTTTATTTTATAGAAAAAACAAAATTAAGTGACAACCTGCTACACGTGAATCCTTCTAGATCCGCTCCTCATCCTTTCTTTCTCTCTCGTGGAACACAGTTCCCATCTCTTTCTTTTTCCGCGATTCACAAAAACAACAATAAAAGCAATCAAAGTATGAGACAAAAAGAAACAAACCATGATCGAATGGCCTGAGATGGTCATGGTTGTTGTTGAAGGGTGGTGGAGGGGCACTATACTTGCCATGGAGCTTGCAACCGCGTATTTTAATAGTTAATAGAGTTCTGAGTCCATCCTCCAAACATCTTAGCAATGAATCATCAGCAGTGGAAGGTGCACCACAGATGAGAAATCTCAAGTTCATTTCATCATCATGAATCTGTATAGAAGGAAGACTTCCGGAGGAACTTTCTTCATCATCATCGTCTTCTTCTTCTTCACCCATCTCTGGAGGGTCAACATCGATTTTGAGACAGTCACCAAGAAGGTGTGGCCCCATATCGCTATCAGCATCATTGCTATCAGTAGGAAGTACATGGTTATTTTGAACACAGTAAAGTTTGAAAGAAGCATGTGCAAGGTGGAAAGCATCCCATGTATGTGTACATGAACTCTGCACCACTGAAAAAAATGCTTGACGAAAATGGCAAGCAACATATAGAGAAAATGCATTCTTCCAAAATACAACATATGGGATCCCTTTAAGATGAAGGGCCTCAGCAAAACTTTCTCCATTTGGGATTTCTAAATATACAACCGTCGGCAATGTGGTACCAAAGAGCTCTGATACATCTTCAGGAGTGGATAATTCCACACCTTGCCAAACCAATGGACCAACTTCCTCGTTCACTAACTTCTCTCCTTGTAAGTAAACAAAACTCGGCTGATACGTTTCAAGAACTTTACGAAATTGTTCCTTTTCCGGATTGCAGAGAGTTTGCACCTCTAGACGCCCCGAAGAAACCAACTCTGGGAAAGGATATTTTCTATGATTCAGTGGATGCTTCTGCTTCTGCTCAACAGAATGTGTATCAGAAGTAACAGCAAGAACAGTACAAGTATGTTTAGAAGCTCCTTGAGGATGAAACTGCAACATCGTTTAAGCGATGAGGTGAAGTTCCGGAGTATTCTCCGACGAGGAAAACACCGTTACGGCGAGATTACGGAGGAATTGTGAAGCTGCGTTGCATAGTTGGGTTTGGTGAGTTGTGAGAAAGAGAGATGAGGGATTATGCGTAGAGAGAGAGGGAAATGAATTGAGAGTCAAGGGTCACTATTTGCTTTTTGTTCTTGTTTTATGGAGTAGACCCAGAGATAGGTATCCTGTTCCAATAAGCTTTATATAGAAAAAATGAAAAAACAGAATTTGATTTCACAATTAATCACAACCATTCAAAATTATTCAATACGCATTAATCCTCAAATTTTGTCAACAACCAATAAAAATCAAGTATAGTGCATTTAATATTTTTTATGACAAAAACACCCTTAAATGATAAAAATAAAATAAAAACCTGAAATTATAAAATATAACTCAATTTAAAATGATTTTTTTGAATATTCTATGAATAAAAAATAAAGATCCAAAGTGACCGAAAATGATAAAAAACGGACGAAAATTTATCCGAAAAAAATAAAATGAACACATTAAAATAATCTACATGTCACAAAGATTAAAGAAAAAAATATTCAAGAAGTCAAAAATCAAAAATAATAATGATAAAAATATCAGACTAAACAGACGTTTAAGGTTAAAAACGAGACTTCAAACTGTACCGAAAAAATAAAGCGAGCATACCGTCATAATCTACGCGAAACGTAGATTCATAAAATGATCAGTAAAAGGTGAAAACTTGAAATATTTTTCTCACTAATTTCGCACATTGTTGAATCGTTTTTAACAGTTTGTCTATAAAACCAAAATATTTTTATTATCAACATACAAACAACTTGGAGCAATGCAAGAAACGAGTAAAGAGATAAAAATGCATGAAGTGAAATGTCAAGTATTTTTTAACTAAAAGACGAGGCAAACTTTGATTTAAGCTGACTTTTCTGATCAACTTAAATATGACTAATGATGCAAAATATGATGAATGAAAATATTTACTAATAATTGTGACCAAATGACAAAATATGGTATGAATGTGCGACTGAAAAAAAATAGGGGCGAAATTAAGGGTGCAACGGTGTGCCTTGATGAATCAGTCTTCGAGAATCCATAATCCACCATACTTTTGGCTTGGGAGACTCAAAACCTTAATTGAGGCGCGACACCTGATGCTCTTGATTCAGACCTGTCTCTGCACATGAAACAAAAGAAAACATGAATATACACCTTTGTATGCGATTAGAAATTAGTGATACATAGGCTAAAAATGTTCGAAACACTTGACAATCTTCGCATAGTCAAAGCTCGAAGGTGAGACGTTAAAACCGACCGTATTTCGTGACCTTGACTTATCAAAAATAAAAATGGGATCTTAGGTCAAAAATTGGGGTACAACAATGGGAGGGAAAATTTTGGGGTACAACAGCTGCCCCTGTTCAATCTTCTTAAACTTAAGGATTTAGATTGGCTTGTCTGCCTTTCGTGATCTGAATGTGGAAGAGGATTGAATACTAGAGTGCTTAGAAATTTGCACTCGCATGAAGTAACACTGATGGTTGATGATATCGGGAATGGGATTACAAATGCCATTTGGAGAAGATGACAGAGAGTCTTCGAAGATGGGACTTAAAGATGCCATCCAAAGTAGATGTTGACTTCCTAAGAGGTCTCTTTGTGGGGATTCCTGTTCCTGCTGTCTGAGGAGGACTCTGCTGGGGAATATGGGTTTCTGTTGTTCTCCTACTTGAGGAAAACTCTGTGGGGAATAGAGTCTAGGAGCTTCAGTTGTCCAAGACTCTACTGAGGGGTTATCTCTAAAGAGATAAAAGTTTGCTTTTTTTCTGGTTGAAATTCAGGCTTCACGGTAACTTGCTGGGGATAATGGAATTAACCGTTACCTGAAAATGTATTAGAAAGAGCCTGTGTAGGGATGTTTCAGGATGAGTCCATATTTGTCTGCATCCGAAGATATATGAGAAGGAGCCTATGTGGGGATGCTTCAGGATGAGTCAGTGTTAGACTGCATTTGGAAAGTTGAGAAGGAATCCGTGTAAGATTGCTTCAGGATGAGTCCGTGTTAGACTGCATCTGGATATCATGAGAAGAAACCCGTGTAAGATTTCTTCAGGGTGATTCCGTGTTAGACTGCATCTGGAGATCATGAGAAGAAACCCGTGTGAGATTGCTTCGTCTGGTCATGTAGATAGATTTCCTGTCTGGTTTCAGGTGTTAATCTACAAATTAGTTATTCACATATAGTTGTCCTGTCTGGTTTCAGGTATTAATCTGGAACTTGAAAATTATTTGTCGTTGAGATAGTTTTTGTTGTACCCCAAAACTTTCCCTCTAATTTCTCAAGAATTTGCTCACAAGATCTCTTTGCGCTGGAGACTGCATTAGAGTTTGATCAGCTCAAGACACCCCCTTATGCCCTGATGACTAAAATTAGGGTTTGAGATTTCACAAGGATTTTTGGACTTCCAATTCCCCATATGAATTTCATGGATCATGATGGACCCCCAAGATTACTCATGTCAAGTTTCAAGCCTTGGATCACACTTTTGCTCAGTCAATTGAGCAGTTGACCTAAAAATCAGCTGTATTAGGGAAAAAGTCAACTATGGCCAATTCACAGTCAAAATTCATGATTTTTGGTCCACATTAACATTTTAAACTCATATGAGTCATTTGATCAAGTTTGGACCATATCTCCTCAAGAAATTTGGTCAAATCTCCAAAAGGGCAAAATGGTCAAAATTAGGGTTTTAACTGAGAAAGGGCAATTTCTGATTTTTGACCTAGCAAATGGTCAATTGGTTTAAGGCATGATCTCAAGAGTCCAATTTCATCATTTTTACCTATTGGAATGGTTCAAAACATTGCAAGCCCATTGGATTGACAGGTGAATTTTTCAGTCAATTAATCAAAAGTCAATTGTATACTAAAAAGTCAAACTTTGATTTTTTGGTCAAATTCAAGTGCCAAGGATCACAATTCATCAAAACATGTCAAAATATGAAACTTATTCATCAAGAAATCAAAAAGTCAAGATTTAATTTTTAAAAGTCAAAATTTCTAAACTTAGAAATTTTTCTAAGTGTTGGAAATTTCATGTTTTTTTCATAACTTTAAGCCAAATTTTCACCATGATGCATGATGATTCAAGAAAAAAATTCCAAAATTAAAGTTGTAGATCTCCATGAAATCTACAACTTTTCTTTACACAACTCCTTCCAAAAATGCTTGGATCTCAAGTTATGATTTTATGAACATAGGGTCATGAAACTAAACACTTCGTGAAATTTTGCCCTAATTTGGTCAGAATTTTGACCTAACTTCATGACACTTTTCACATATTTCCAAGTAGAATATTCAAACGAAATTCAAAGATGGATTGTAGAGCATATTGCAAGCTTTCCAAAATGTCCAAGAACTCCTCGAGATCATTCTTGAGGAGGGAGAATCGAAGAGATGAAGTTAGGGTTTTGTCACTTGAATTACAAGTCATTTTTGATGAACACTTGAACCAAATCCATGCTAGGCTGCATAATCCTTGCTTTTCAGGCCTCAAAATTGTTTGTCACTCCATAATTAAATGTTTACACAGATGTTAGAGCTTTGATCCAAGGAATTGAGCTATTGTCCAAGTTGCATTTCCATTTATGGCACAAAGTTACAATGCCATTCTTGTAAAGTAAGCTTTTTGCATAAAGTTCACATTGAGCCTCTAACTTGTTCCCTCTGATCATACTCCATCCACAAAGTCATAAGCAAGCTTGTTTAAAGCATAACGACTCTATCTTAGCAAGTACACAGGGCATGGAAACTTGGTTTGTCAAAAAATCACATGTTTAACTTAAATATGTAAATTTGAATTCTGATCAACTAGAGCACTCCAAACTTGTTGCTTATAAATATAGTCCCTATTTGTGAGCTAGAACACGAGCTTGAACACCCTAAAATACACCAAAACTCTCTCAAATCAAAAATTGCACAAAAACTTCATTGTTGCACAGTTTCTGACCTTGAACATCAAACTCCCATTTCCCTCATGGGTTTCTTGGCTTTTTAGTTTCTAAAGCTTCCTTACATCAAATACAACTCATCCTCATCCTTATTCAAGAACTGTAACACCATTTACCATAACTTCCATAACCAAAAAATACAGTCTGCAACTTGACTTCTCCAGGCCATTTCAACCATCCATTGTTCAAGCTAACCATTGCATTAGCTTCCTAGGACCTCAAGGAAGCTAACCTGATCATCACCATCACTTGAAACAAGCTCAAACTCAAAACATGATTTCCAGTTTTGAGGTAAGTTTTCTCAACTTGGAACTCTTCATACAGGCATCATCAATAGTTTATTTGTGAATAAAACATGTAGATATCATTGCCCTGAAGCTAACCATGTCCATAGTTTCCATTGATTTTGCTTGAGCTTAGAGAATTTTGAAACTGGAATTTCTGAAATTTTTAGGGTTCAGATTAGGGCCATTAAAATTCTTGCTTATCTTTGATCTATAGTTTTAATACTTTACATTTCTAGAATCGTGAGAAAATTTGCTACAAGTTTCATGTTTACAGTTTTCATGTTTACAGTTTTCATTTTTAATGAGAAATGAGCAAGTTACAGTAGGCCTGGCTGGAGGTTGAAGATGAACTCTTCAGGGGGAGTTTTGCCTTACATATTTATTGTTTCATTTGTATTAACGAATGTATAGCCACCCAAGTGGTAGAAGCGCACGTCTGTAACCTATGGGACCTGGGTTCGAGCCCCAGTGGTACCCTTTTGCATTTTTTCATGTTTTTTTGCAATTCTGACCCCTTTTTTGTTTGGCAGGCGCTGGGCCCTTTGGGCCTGATTCATTTTTGTTTTTGCTAGTTGACTCCCATACTGAGTTTTGGCACCCCCTGGCCCAAATTATTTTATTTATTCATTTATTTCATTTTTTTTATTTTTCTTTTCTTAAAAATATTTCCTAA